TCTTCCAGGTCTCACTTTCACAGCAATTTAGCCTTGCCTCAGAATTGTTACATTATGGGCAAATGGTTTGGTTGTGACACAGGATCGTTTTCAGAAAAGCAGCAGACAGTGTCTAGAAGCGGGGAAAAAAAGGTCTTTATTGAGAAGGTCAAAAGGGACATAAAGGCAAAAACTGACTTTCACCGAAACAGAACTGGAGACCAGGCCTCCAGTGTCCTTTTTGTAATTCACTGCTTGTTTCCAGGCCCCATGATAGAATTCTTCCATAACAGACAGAGGACTTTGTTAAATTGTAAATGAGTATTACTTCAAGCACTCTGTGGAAATATATCCTCCCCCTATAGCCCATACATTATTTCTGCTTAGTTATAGTGGCTCACATTTCCCGTAACTATCAGAGAGAACTTAATTCAACTCACACCACATCACTTTACAATTGTGCAGCTCTCTTAATCAACCTTTGTATCAGCCACGAATGTGCAGTATGACCTAATTTGAAAATGTCTCAAAGTGCTGACTCAAACTGTTAGTGAATAAAGGCTAGTCATTACCATTATGACACTAATGTGATGCAAAATAAAATTGAGTTGCATCAGCTGAACATTAGTTTGCAAAAATATTAGTGATTGAATCCATTTTCTGTTCATATTTTATTTATATTTATATATGTGTACATATATACATATGCATATATTTATTTTTTGTTTGAAACAGGCTTGCGACAAAATTTTTAAGGGCAGAGGAAGGAAGCCACATTTGAACACTGGAAAAAGACACTGGGTTAAATGCTGATCATATGTCTATCGTGATCTCTTCTCTATAAGATGAAGACATGTTGCTGAAATCTTATGAGGACATTTATATGCACATAAGCAACAGCATATGAAAATTATCTAGTCCTGTACTTTGGTGCTAGATTCCAAGGTTTCTAAGAGCCCTGCCACTTCTTACTACATATTACTCAAAAATTCTGACTTTGTATTTACAAATAACAAAGATTTGAGATTTATTTCTTTCATGGGCCTTCTTTCCTTTTTCCTTACTTGAAAAAAAATTACTTTGAAGACAGAAATACCTTTAATAAACACCATCATTAGTTACTTATGAACAAAAGAAAGTGAGACATAAAACCAGACATTCTTTAGCCTCATCCCTACTGATGATACTTTGTGGACAGCAACATCAATGATCTTTTTCTTACAGAATTCAGATGGTTTGGAGGAAAAACTCATGGGCTTATTTAATACCTACGCATCCTAAAACTGGTATTGGCTTCAAATTCTAAGCTGATAAGTAGTTATTGAAAATAAATCAGCAGGAACCTCTCTTAAATTAGAGAAATTTCCTAATAGTAAATAAGAAACTCCACCCTGTATCTCATTTTGGATCTCCAGAATTCTGAAAATTCTGAACATAAAAGTGATGTATTAGTGATTAAATACTTCTGATTTTATTTCTTTAATGGTTCTAACAAACTTAGCACACAAATACAAAAGAGATACATTGTCTTTTAAAATTGTCGAGGACAAGAAGTTTTGGCTATCAAGAAAGTATTTGACCTGCTTTCAATTGAGAGAGTATATGTCTTCATAATATATCACTGTAAGTGATCAGTAGAGAATACAGCTAAAGTAAAATGCTGGCAAGCTCTGTTCATTCACTTTTTAGAAAAACAAGTAAAACCTTCCAGCAAGATGTGTAGAAATTTTCTACTATGTAATAACTTTCATATTTGAATCCATTTTACATTGTGTAATATGTGGCTTAGGCTGTTTTTATGACCTGTGCTTTATTTCTACATTAAGACAATCCACATTTCAAAAAAGGAAAAGTTTGAATAATTTCAAAGTGAACTTGCCAAAACCAGCATTCGGAAGCATGGGTGCTCACACACACAAACACAAGGAAACTTCCCATTTACCTAAAAACGGGGCTTACCCTTTTTAGCTAAAATACAATCATTCTTATTTTTAGGTTACCGTGAGAAAAGGTATGTGGCTGTGATTCCTGCAAATGGATTGCCAGTCTCTTAACAGTTCATCATTCTTAAATGATGGAAGTATAGCAGCACTCTTCTGAGAAACATCTCTTCTGTAGATTTTACTTTGTCCACGCCAGGACAAAGTGTGTGCTAAGTTGGAATAATTCTGAGATGGGAGATACTTCCATGACTGTCCTTGGACTACCAAGGAGCTGGCATTCCTCTTTAGAAGATGAGGAGAGAATATTCCCTGACCTCTTAATTGATGATTTACTGTGCTTTTCCCTGGGACCACAACCGATGATCTGTAAGCTTGTTGAATTTTGAGGCAAATACTAAATATAATCAATATATAAAAATATTAAAAAAAGGAGAGAAAAAAATGCAATGAAAATTTATGACCTTAACATTCCTTCAGGGTCAAGCAATTTATCAAATTCTCTCACTTTCTGGTTTCAATTACATAGCTATTGTGGAAGGAACTTATTTTAGCAGGTTCATTTGCCTCAGTGGGGAATACAGGACTTTGGCCTAATGCTTCACCTTTAGTGCAGGCCATTTGAGCCTTAGAACAAATACCAATCATCACTCTTTGGGAAAAAAGAATCTGCATCGGCGTGGCCTATTGGAATGGAGTTTCTGTCAAGGTAAACGGTTGTCGGCAATGACTGTGGTAGAGTGGCGATAAATCCCATTTTATTGCTGAAAAATTCCAGCTTCTCTCCATGCCTGACAGCTCCCCACATTCTCATACCCATTTGGGCAATTTCTGCACTATGTCCATCTGGTTCTCATTACCTCTCAACCTGCCTGCGTCTGATCCAGAAAAAGAGCAGGTCAGAAATGGGGCTGGGTTGCGGGGGGGTGGGGGGGAGCAGGAAGAAACCAAGGTGATGAACAAAACAGAAAGCAGGGGGGTGGCCCGTGGGGTTCAGGGAAGAGTTGAGGTTGGGCAGAGTGGGGATTCCAGCTAAGGCTCTGAGTGGTTTTGAGAAGGGGCCATGTAGATTATTCAAAAGGATCATGACACAGCTGGAGCCAGAAGCCAGAGAAACTTGTATCTTTAGACCCAGACATTAAAAAGACACCTGTTTTAAGGTGAAAGAGAGAGAAAGGAGAGAGAGAGAATGTGGTAGGTAGGGGAGGGAGAGGAGGAATCTCTAATAAGGGCACTGCCGGCTGGATTATCAGAGTAGAGGACCTGTTCTAGAAAGGCTTGGAGCACCATATACACAGTTGGCAGGCTTCTAAATATGCAGATCAAACTCTGCTGGAGATTCGATTTTGGTTCAAAAACATATGTTTTTGAGGACAAAGAAAACTCTTGGCTCTCCAACCTTATTGTCTCCATTCATCTTTCAAAGAAGAATAATATTTAAAAACTAACTTGTCTTAATTAGGGCATTTAGAATGACAGGACTAGCATTGAGTTATTTGGGAATCCATAACCCTACATATAATCACTTTTGGAAGGGAGTGCATTTATGCCTTTAAAAAGTTGGCCTCATTTTCTGAAGCTGAAATCCTTTTGATCATAATTACTTCTGACCTAAAATTGCCCAAGTCACCATACAATGCCATGCTGGGACAAAAATGAAATATGTATTGTAAGTATCTGATAACAGATATAAACTATCAGCCAACTTAAATAGTATCAAAAGTTAAACTAGGATGAAACTATACAATTATATATTTCTGAATATGAAATTTACTCATTAGTATTATTATTTTGATGCAGTAGGTGGGGCCATTGTAATAAATACTAAAATAAGAGGGGTTAAAGTATATTGAAGTAAAAAAAGATCTGAGAGCTTTGCATAAAAATTAGAATCAGATGAATGATTGCATAGATGTAGTTATTTCACCACCTGTTTTGAAGTCAGATTTTGTATGCAAATGTCTTAAAACCAGGTATGATTGTGTATTCTTAAATACGTTGGAGAGCTGTGGGATTATTATGATTTGTAGACAGAATCTCTTGTGTTAGATGTGTTTGGATGAACATATTGGATGGTCTCTTAGTGCCTTCTGATCACAGGGGTCCAGAGTGCATTTCAGGTCCTCAAAATGGACATTTTCGACAGTCAGAACCCCCAGTACTGCATTATCTGTTTTTCATTGGTTGAATTCCAATATCAAAATTATGTTAAATTTTAGTTGCTGAGCCAGGCCCTTTAGATAAGAAACTGACTTCCAATACTGGGATTTAATTTCTAAATTTTCAAGTCATGAATGCTCAAAGGAGATTTTTATGAAATGTACCTGAAATGGAAAATGAACCCCATATAGGCATTTAAATTGATAAATTGTTGCTAAAAAATTTAAATTAAAATGACAAGATAATTTGGACTGACGTACATTAGAAATCATCAAAAATGACGTTTGCTAGCTTTAAAATGAATACTCTAATCAACAAATAAAATTCTAAAACAGACGTTTTCACATGGACATATTAAAAGGCATAAACCTTTAGCGAGGGTCACATATCTATTAAAATGGTCTTGATTTTAATGGTGTCTCTAATTTGCAAAGTAATTTCATCTTCTTAGCCAAGAAGAATCCTGCTTGAACTTTACTTTTCTAGGCTGTACATATATCAGAGAAACGTGATCATTTAAATTCTAAAGGATGTTTGTTTCTTTTAATAGCATAGCAGAGAATTAATGGCATGGGGGAGGGGAATGTGACAACTTAACTTGATGCTTGATAGCTGTTTACTTATGAATGTGTGCCACAGATTTCAGTGTCTGTAAAAGAAGGGGAAATAAAGAAACCGATGGCTTTTAGGGAACTTAAGACACGTGGAAGAAAGTGCTTAGAAGGCTATTGAAATATTTACAAAACAAATCATTTACATTAACTTTCTTATATGTAGGACCCCGAGTGCCCATGAAAAGATAGAACCAATTCTGGCTATGAGAAGTATTTCAGCATCAAAATGGTTAATAGTATTATAGCTTCAAAAGAGCCTATTGGCTCACCCTCAAGGATGCCCTGCAGTTGTTGTTAAAGTCATCAGATGAAGCTAGCCTTCTCAGCTAGCCTTTAGATTTGTCTGCTAACAGTAAAAATACTATAATAAATCGGTAACATATGTTGCCAGGCAAGGAAAAGTGATTTAAATAAAGAGACTGGGAGACCCAAACCAAGTACAATGTGAAAAGAATTTAACTTTCAATCTATTTGCTGGCTAATTACCATTTGAAAAGTAATTTGAAAGTGTTACTGTTATTTGCTGATATTCTTCCTCATTTTTCTTTTTTTCCTCTTCAGATTGCATTCTTACCCAAATACTCTTCGTGATGGCCTGCTTTGCGGCTTTGGGGTAAGTCCCAGTTTTCCACAACCTTAAGAAAAAAAAATGCATAACATAAAAGATGTCAGAAAGACTTATGTGTCCTGATATTCGTGGTCTGTGAAATATACATGGGTTTGTTGCTGGGGGTGGGAGGGATTATGAAATAAAAATAAGGGGTTTGTTTCTGCAAGGATCAAAAGTGTGCGAAAGTGTGCATATGTAAACGAGGCTCCCATCAGGAAAACCACCTCTGGAATGGAAATGACAAAGCTTGGAACACACACAATCAATTATTTTCACCAGCATTTAAAATACAGAAAACAAAATCTGCTTTGGGAATTGACTGAATATTTTATTTAGCTTTTTTATTGAGACATCCTTTGAAAAATGGTACAATATAAATAGTTTTACAAAGCAACAATATAATCAATCTCTAAACTAGAATATAAATCAAGGATTTCATTAGCTGCTGGTAGCCAGTTTAAATTGTAGTCTTGCCCATAATGTCTATCTATCTATGTATGTCCATGTTATATTAAAAACCTTTAAATGGCTTTGTAATATCAGCTACATCTAGCTATTATAATAATTAATGGTACTGTTTTATAAATCAATACATGTATTCTTGATAAATTCATATCCAGTTAATGGTGTAATTTAAATAAAAAATTAATATAATAAAGGACATACAGAAACAGGCAGGAAATCTTTAAAGGTTAAGAGCCAAATTTGTCTAAATTCATTTTTAACCTGTTTTGGAAAAGTTTATATTTAAAATCAGCTGAGACTTACCTAGTTGCTGTAAAACTAATCTTGCCATTTCTGGTGGTATCTAGTATTAAATTTGTAAGATGTTTTTTGACTGTTGTTTTAATTACATAGTTAAAATACTGTGGAATATTTTACTGTCATTGTACTATTTTGTGACTATTGAGTATTCTTTAGAACAAAACAAACTGAAAACCTCATACCAGTAATTCATTTTTAATACACAAATGCATGTAAATGCTTTATTTTTTGAAAATCTCCAGATCTATGTATACATTTAGGGGGGAAAAGGGCTGATTAGGTCAATAAATTTGCATGTGTAAGAGCCGAGCATTTTCACTGCTTTCACTGAGTGAACATTCCAAGAATTTTAGAAAGAAAAGAAAAATGCATGGAAGGGTCCGAAATGTGTTTTAACGCTGCACCCGGGTACAGAAACATTCTACCAAATGATGAGTGTATTATTGTTCTAATTTAAAGAATACATACCAAAGACATATAACAAGATTTAGAAAAACAACCGAAGGTTGTATGTTATCAAATACAATATCAAATCTTTCCAAATAAAATTTCATTCGGTTTATAAGAGTAAGCATTTTACAAAAAATATCTTTCAAAATTATGCAGACCAGTCTGCCCTGCCATCCGCCTTGACATGGTGCAGAAATGTTCCTTTAATCCACTGAGGTTTTTCTGACATTTTTCTTAACATTGCTGAGCCTTATTTAGAGCACCAAAGGAGGCGTGTGCAGTTTCCTTTGACACTGATGGGTGTTTCAAAATGTTACACGAGAGAGAGCGGTGAGAAAAAAAGAAAGAAAAGATTTGCTGCCAGTCACTTCATCAGTAGAGCTACACAAGCAATTACTATTTGTTAAAAGTTTACATTTCAAATGAAGCTAAATTTTAAAGAAGGCTCATCCTTTTAGGACTGGTGCTTGGAAGACAGAAGAAGAGAATACACATTAGTGATTACATGTTAAAGTGCACTCAAGTACTGGAACCATTTAAAATGTATTGTGTTTTTAGTAGAAACCTGCAGCAAAACCACTCCTAAGAGGCTTAATTTAGGTTTTATAGGAGGAACATAAAAAAGACCAGGTTACAGCAACATGCTGAAATATGGGGTACATTTTAAATATCTTCATTTAAAAACGTATGTTTATTTCCCCTCCTGGGATCACTAACGTGCATCTCCGCAGAGAAAGCAAGGACATGCATTCTTAAAAATTATCTGTTAAAGGGATCACATTCCAAGACAGGTTTGAGCATTTTTATTACTACAGATAACCTCTTAATTATGTCACTGCCTTCCACTTGTTAATCAGGGACATTCAACATAGTTAACCATAGAGTGGTTGCCTTTAGAAGAATACATTATTATTAAGGATTAGAAACACATTTTATTCCTATAATCATATTGCATTTAGCACTGCTAAAACCATACTTAACCTGCTTTAAATACATAACACCTATGAAAGAGTCTAGATGCCTATAACAATGTTGTTCATTACTTCAAACTGTGCAGTCCATGAAAAGCTTCAAGAGAGATCTTTTTACTCTTCCTGTGTCCCCCCTCCACCTCCCCCATGTCCCACGCAATTCCTATTTGAATTGATTTTAGGTTTCTTGTGTAGCCACCAGCAACTGAGATACTCAGGTACTCTTTGAGAGACCAAGGTGTAAGTGAAGTAAATAAAATCATGTTTCCCTGTTGCTTTATCAACCCTCCTAGGTAGTTTTTCTGCCAGCCAACCAGAGCTGTTAAGACCCACACAATTATGCAATAGTGACTTCTTTGGAGGTTCTCTAATCAGATAATGGCTGGCATTAGGAGGCGAGGGCCCAAGGCAATGTTGCTGGGTTGTCATTACACTGTGGTTGGTCATTACTTGTCTAGTAGAGACCAATAAACAGCTGATTACTATCCTATATGGAGCCAATATTTTACATTTATCCTAGTTATTTTTTCCTTTTCAAGTTCTTATAACAGGAAGTATTTGTCAAGAAGATCTATGAGTAATAGCCTCCCAGGCACCTTAAAAATAAGAATTTTCCTACCATGAAATGATGCCTTTTGTGGAAAGGTGAGAATGATTCTAGTTTTTACAGTAGCAAAGGTTTGATTTGTTTCAAGTCTATTTCGTTCAGACAGGGACACTCCTGACACCATCCCTGCTGCTCCCTGTCCCTTTGACAGGTTCACAGGCTGCAACTAAGGGATTTTAAAATGCAAATGTTTATATTAATATTTGCACTCTGGCAATAACAGACCCATTTTGCTTCCTCTGTAAGCCTGTGATAATTGATGCTTTATAACTGGAACTATGTTTCATTTATCTCTTTACCCATTAAGATAGTGTATAGATAAAAGGTAATTTATGGAAAGGAACCAACCATTTGAAATAATAATCCCAAATCCAACTAAATAATCTTTTAAAGCTGTAAGAGTCAGAGATGGAGATTTCTAAACTTTTAAAGAAAACTTGATTGCAAACGGGTAACTTGTGCATTTTTGAATGCTTATTGAATTTGAACGTCTGTGTGGGCCAAAAGAGAACCAGAGGGACAAATGGAAGTCAGGAAAGAAAAGGTGTGAATTTTAGATGTGTTTTAAATTAATGTATTTAATGACATATTAGACATATTACAATTTTATAGACTTTCTCTTTACGCTTGAATATAATTTTTTACTAGCTGATGCAAACTGCAAAATAGCGTGTCTCCTAAGGTGCCCTTCCTTCCCTGGGATCCTCATCATAGAATGAACAGAGGTACATCAATAAGAACTGGACCTTGATTTCACAACCTCATATAAAGCCAGGCAATTCTTGAGCCAAACAAACAAAGGGGGTGTAAGCGATTTCATTTATTTTGATAATCCTCCTCTTGCACAGGAGCATTTTGCTGTCTTTGTCAAAGTGAATGACAACAATTTGGCCAACTCTCTCTGAGCTGCACTCAACAGTGACAGGCAAATTATCAGAGGCCCTGCACTTCTTATTATCAGAGGAGAAGCCATCAGGGGGACGCATGGAGGATACCTCTCCCTTGTCACTATTTGTCAGCGGGACAAGGGCCACTGCTATGGGTAGCTGACAGGTAATTTCAACAATAACAATTACTCCTATTACTGGTGTCATAAACAATTCGCCCAAGGCATGACAATAGCAAAGCTTTATAATTCAATGCCATATAAATAAATGCCAGCAGGTAACAAGTAATTTAGCTCCAATCAAGCTTTCACCCCAGCATTAATATTGTTATTGCAAGAAAATGGAAAATTGAAAAAATTCAATATGTTAATGAATTAAGAGAGGTTCAAGGGCTCGACAAGAGGAGTTGGAAAAAGGAAACCAAAATTGTTGTAGTATCATATTTGGTGCCATCCTGGGGGCCAAACATCAGTATAATTACTTTAAGACAAGAAGGGGAACTGGAGTACCCTAGACCTCAGAGCAGGGGAAAATGTGACATGAGCTTTCAAAAAAATCCACCTAGCTCCAATTTCCGAAGAATATGAGAGGAAATATGAGAATGTATGTATAATGTAGCATTTCCCTGGCTTTCTTTTTCTACCTGAAATATTTCATATAAAGAAGAGGCACGAGTATCTAAGGAATGTTTCCATCTGTTTAAGAAAATCGTATCAGCACCTGCTTCCTTTACATGAAGTCTCATAATGAAACTATTTTAATAATCCTTTTTTATCAGGGGTGAAGGTAAAGCTGAAAGTCATCTTTGCTCTCCAGCTGTCCACCTTTTGGAAGTGGACTAGAGGATACAGTGTTATCTTCATATGTAAAACTTCCTGATCAAACCAATTTGCAATTTTAGTATTTGTCCGGCAAGACAATGTGCCATCACGGTGACAGCAGTAAAAGAATCTGAAAATCTCTAATTAGGAGAGCTGCACACCAATTAACGCATGTCAAATTTCACTTCATCAAGTGCCACTCTAATTTTCCCTCTAAAAATTAATGGATTTTTTTTCTTTTGGTATGTGTGTGTGTCCCCTTAAGGCAATGTTGATTCAAATCTGCTCAAGATGCAGTGTTGCACAGCTAAGCATCTTCTTGATTACAATCCGCCACACTTCTAACTGCGCTCATTCGCACTGCCACGGATACTTTGTCAACAGTCAAATTACACCACGCTGATAACAATGCATAATGGTGTTCCTCCTCCAGTCCCCTGTCAGGAGAGGGGCTTCATAAACATGTGATGTTTTCTTCTCAACTGTTTCTAAAGGAAGTTTA